AGGAAAAACTTATATGATTGATATTACATTAGAGAAAAATAACCATTTCGAAAATAATTTAATTTGAGAAAGTAAATTATCTTTTTTTTTTCAAATGAATGAATATATTAATTTGTTAGCCAATCGAAGAAAAATAAAATGTAATGGTTGAACAAAGATATATTTTAAATTACAATTCCGATGATATAAATTATGATATAGTACGATTTGTTCTAAATTTAATCCACGTATATTCTTTTATTTAATTTAAAAAAAAACTCTTCTAATATTAAAAACTCAAAACTTATTGAGAAACTGAAAATGACTTAGAATATTGAATATATATATATATATATATATGTATATATCAATATATTCAGTAAATTTTTCTCAATATCAAATACTAAAAAATTAAACTTTTTATTCATGAAAGTGTAATTTTCTGGGATCATTCTTTAAAAATGGTTTAGAAAATGTTTTTTAAAGGAAGAAGTGGATCAAAGAATTAATTTTTAATTTTTAATAGTGTTATATGAAAAATTCAAAAAAAATCTAGAAAATTTGTATAATTTTTTTTTATTTTAAAACCCAAAAATCTAGTTTGATTCAAGATCTAAATAAAATGATATAGTTTTAATATAAACTGATTTATTTTTTTATAGTTTTTTTGTCGTTATATCACACTGTCATATTATAATCGGCATATTAATATTTTTTTTTCAATATAATATTGTGATGTGATGATTTACTTAATTTGTTATTAAAAAATAAAATGTTAGATATTACCATGACTATATGTATAGGTTTGGATATTAATATAAATGAAACAATTTTAACATACTAAAATGTAACAAAAAGTGCAGATAAAATTAAAAATGATATTACTCCCATCATAATTATGATCATCCGAAAAAGAATAATCTTCAAATTGTTTCAACAATAAAAAAATATCACTGCAAATAAGAACCTAATAGATAACGATGTTATATAAAAGTATAGTATTAGATGTTCATTTAAGGAGATGTTTTATTTATTTTCACAATGATGATAATCATGTAAACATTAAAAAATCAATGATTTTTACTGCATGATTTTTTGTAATGATAATTATCAAATCTAATCAAAATTATGTCAACTTGCCAATTATTTAACACAAATTTTTTCCATATGTGATTATATTTCTATAGTAAAACAGAGATAATTGAGTAATTTAATCGTATTGCATCCTCTTGCCTCATCTTTTACGAATACATCATAAAATTACCCTCTTTTTTTTTTTTTGTCTCTCTTCAAAAACTACGTTTTTTCCTGTATTTTGCCAATTCTCCTATCTTTTAATTGGTTTAATCTGGATATTTAAAATCATTGAAAATATTCGATCTTCTACAAATAAATTCCATAAAAAAAATCATCCCATTATCTGGATATTTAAAAAAAATCATTTTAATTTAATAATATAAATTATAAATTTAAAAATAAAATATATTATATTAAATTCAAAATTAAATAAAATATTTAGTAGTATATTATATATATATATATATATATTGTCTACGCTATCTGCGCGGATTATTTCGGGTTATTACCTAGATTCATCGTTCATAACCCAATTTACAAAATTCGACATTTTCCATGAAAATTTTCATTTTTTTTTTGGGACATTAGGTTTTCGTCGACCGGTGAAATCCCAGAGCCGTAACCTGTATGGTTTGAATTTCCATCCAAACCCCATCATCTTTATCATATTCTCTTTCGTTTCACCTTTTGATTTTGACCCAATCGATTCTTCTAGTTCTTGCGATTGAAAAACCCGATCCGATAGCCATGAGAGACCATCATTTGCCCAGAAAGAGGAACAACATCCAGATCCATCACCATTTCCGCGATCCGAGTATCCGAGAATCCATCAAGAAGCTCGGGCGATTGGCCCACATCTTCAATCGGGTCCTGGAGCTTCCGTTCAGGTTCGACGTCGATGTTGTGGTGGAGGAGATGCCCGACTACTTTATGTTCTTGGCGGAGACTGACGGATTCCCTACTGAAAATGGCGAATTGAGGGCCCATAAGGTGGAGATCCATCCCGATGTGATGAAAATCGTTGTCAGAGCAAACGATCGTCGTCGGTATCTTCTCTAGGTCCGCCATTGTTGGACGAAAGATTATTGTTTGTGGTTTACGTTTTGTTGATAGCACTCATTTATAGGTAACTTAAAAAATAAATACATTTAACTTAGACATTAAAATTAATTCTATAAATTTAACTTACAGAAAATAATCATTGATTAAAATTTGATAGATGAAATGAACTGAATCAGATTAAAACTAATTGAATCTGCATTAATATCGACAACTTTTATTGTGAAGTTAATTAAAATTTCTAAGAATATAAATACATAGTGTCAGTGTTAATGTATGGATAATTAATCTTCTGCATTACCTTTATTATATTGATTTCTCTACAGTAATTATATTCTTACACGTGTCATATTCAAAGGAACTAATGAACAGAAAATTAAACTGATTTGTATCCTCTTGTGTTTTAATTTAAAAATTATTATTATTTATTAATTAATTGATTAAAAAGATCAGAATTCATAAAAAAAAAATTATATTCTCATTCTGATAAGTATCATTCACCCGTATAAAACGAACGAGCCAGAAACCCGCACGAATTCCTCAACGAATGCAGTGAACGACGACTGAACGTGGCCCCTTTCTTTTGTGTTTTTGTAACAGAAACGATGCACCAACTTTCGAAACCAAAGGGACAAATTAAAAAGGGCGGGAAAGACATGCAAGATTACACGTGTCTTTCGTCATCTATACCTGGGTCGCTTTCCGATCTTCAAAATTCAATTCTATATAGATATACAGATAAATTCATAATCATCGATCCATTCCCCAAAAAAAAAAAACGCCGTTTTATAAGTGACGTACGTCTTTTTTTTTCCTAGCATTAATTAGGATAACATTCATCTTCGTTAAATGTTTTTTTATGCAAATAAAAAAAATCAGAAAATCCAAGCGAACAATAAATTAAAAATAAAAGAACCGGAGAGGCCGTGTGAATACACGGAACGTGGTGGAAGGTTTCCGAAGAGTAATTCCTGTACCGACCGTAATCGGCCGGCGACATGTGAGTATCCGTTCGAATATTACAAAAGAGGGGGGGGGGGGGGG